CCTCCCCCCCCCCTCATCACCCCCCTCCCTCCGGCTCCGCCAACACCTTCTTCCCCTCTTCCCTCCCCCAAGGTCCAATTTGGCTATTACATCAATCTCCACTAATTCTTGATGTTTTTTTGCATGGTTTTCTTTGAGGCTTTTATATTTGATTTCTTGATGTACCCCGTCGAGTCTTTTTGTCCCCCAAGTTCTTTTTCCTTTTCACCCAGCACGAGGTTTTCTCGGAACATGCGTGTCATTTCTGAATAAGAACTGAACTCTAAATGAAGTTACATTTCCTAAATAATGTCTTTCCTTAATCTTGGAAAAGTTTATTTTTCGCGGTGAAATCCTTCCACATGGATCGAACTCATGTCGTATTAATTACAAAAATAAATAATGCATTGATACTAACTTATTTCATAAAAATATCACTTTTTTGTTTAGTTACTGGACGGAAAAACAGAATAAATGTTTGCTGTGCGAGCTCAATAGTTGTAACTAAAGAGAGAGATATTTTTGACATAAATATTAGCATTAGCTCAGTCTGAACTGGTTAACTGTTGTTGCGTCAGTTCTTTGCCAAACATTAACCGAAAAACATTGCTACGCCTAAAAATTTATTTTTAGTGCGTTGAGAGTGTTCATAACTAATTGATTAAAAACAGTTAAAGCCGTTATTGACATTTGAAACTCCAAGAGTTCCTTTTAAAAACACGTGTCTTGGCAAGCCCGGTTTTAAAATTTTAATGAAGAACCCACAGGAAGTAGAATAAAAGAAACAAAGGACGCACATCTCGGTAAATGCACAAAGGCTTAATCTATCCCAGCTTGATGCAAAGCAGTTGAGAAAAACACTTGCTTAGTTCTTCCATTTAATGCTTCTTGGACACGAGAACGATTTCCACGCCGCTACGCGTTACCAGAAAGTGAGGTGTCATGGCCGCTTTGAAGCGTAAAGGAGGCAGTGGAATGCCTGGTAAATGTTGTTCCTGTTGGTTGAGGGTTTGGCGCATTGTAAAGCAGGACATTCTGCTTTTCCTGATTATTATCGGCGTTGTGGTTGGCTTTATCATCGGCGCTGCCGCCAACCCTTCCGTCAACGACATCGTGGACCCGGAGGAAAAAGCAACAACGATCATGTTAATTGGTTTCCCAGGTGAACTGTTCATGAACATGCTCAAGATGTTGATCCTTCCTCTAATCGTAGCGAGCTTGATATGCGCGTTAGCTACACTAGACTCGAAAGCCACGGGCAAAATTGGCAGACGCACGGTGCTGTACTACCTGATGACCACGCTCTTGGCCGTCATCCTCGGGATTGTGCTGGTCGTAAGCATTCGTCCGGGTGAATCGGGGAACAAACGGGAAGCCGAGCAAAAACGACTCACTGGCCCTCATCGAAATCTGGACTCCTTCCTCGATTTGATCAGGTAATTTGTTTTTCACATTATTGGGGATCAAACTAGCCTGTTTTAAGTTGCGGCGCAAATGGCAAAATAAATGCTGGCTGAATGAGAGAAACAAAAGTAAAGTAAAATTATTTACAAGCACTCTATCACTTTTAATCCATCGTTCGCGCACTACGAGGGTCTATTCCGCTTTATCTGGGAACCTCACATCCAACTATGAGATAAAAGCTTTAAAAGAGAAAGAGAACGCGTTTTTCACATGAACTGACTAAGAGTAACTATTAAGCCCATTGACCACTATAAACAACAACATCTGAACTTGCTTTTAAGTAAACAGAACCTCTTAAAAAGATAATTCTTGCGTTTTCGTGATTGTTATTTGGCGTTTAAATCCTTCTTTCAGTCTCATTTTAAAACAATTTCGCCATGAAGAGTGCATCCCTTTGAAGTCTCTCTAACAGAAATGGCCGTGCTAAAGTCTGAAACTTTAAAATTAAACAACAAACCTTCTGATTTCTCATTCGTTAATAACGGCTGACAGTGTATTTTAAGGTTCATGTGTTATGCAACATGCATGCAACCTTACTGTACCAATATCACCTACACAGGAGTTTTCATGAAATAATAATTAATGTTATGTTTGCACGGCTTCAAAAAGGTTTTTTCTTTTTTAAATCGTCGCTCCAGGGAAGTCTCGACATCATGCTGTTTTGCATCTGTCGCTCGCGACCTTTTCACACATCTAGCGAACAAAGATATTACTCTGGCAGAGAAGAATTAAGTTTATTATTACTTTTAAAAAATAATTTAGTAAAAACTTTTCATATTGGAAGTATTCTTCATTTAAGGTTAACCCCAAACTACATTCTTTTTTCTCGGGCAGCAATTAAGTTCGAAAACGTTCATTTTGTTAGCAGTACTGAAACCAAGAACAACTAAATTCTTCTGTATTTGCAGGTTATTGTTTTATCTCACCAGGGAAATTCAAATTTTTCTTTTATTGTAACTGGAGTACTCGTATTATGTTGTTTGTCAATTCTGAGTTTAATGTTTTTTAAACCGATTTTCTCAAGGAATGTTCCCTAAGCACATAAATTTTAGACAGCTTGGAAAAGATATCTGATAAACAGTGTGATTTTCGTCAGCAATCAAATGACAATCGATAGTAAATCTTGATATATCTTGGTTATTCGAGTTTATTAACACACGAGTTTCAACTGAGCTCACCTGCTCTGTAGAGAAGTAATTCAGCTGCAAAAATAAACCTTATATAAAGAGAAACGTGAAAATTCTAATAACGTCAGCATTGCAGAAGCCGTTCTTGGCCGGGTTATAGCTGCGCATGACTTGGTGAGAGATCTTATTCGACTCGGAAGTGAACTGCGTTTTCGTTTGTAAAGATAAAGAGAGTTTGTTCCTTGTTGAATCAGTTCTCTAAGAAGTGTTTCGGCGTTCGGTCCAAGGAATCGATAAGCTAAGCTTGCTTTAGTCCTAAATTCTGCACTGAGTGTTGAACTTTATTGAACTTTGTATTCAAGCTGAGTACAGTATTACATGCGTCAAACTCCTGCTAAGCTGGCCGTTTCTCCAGCTCATTGGCAAGTCAATACATGTATTCTCCTTAGCGATCTTCATTAACTTTTTGTCGTATTATTTGGAACTGAGAATTTGTTTTTTGACCAATACATTTATAGGTATTTAGTACCTATATGGCTCAAGATTGAAATACCAGTCTTTGCATCGTAGTATTATTGTACAAAGAATTCCGACTGAGTTGGTCAAAGTGGAGGTCAAAACGCCTAGGCTTGAAAATCAAAATGTTAATTCTCTTGACTGGAAATTGACTGAAAACATCAAGGACTTAACTTCTTCTTTACCAACAGGAGCTGCTTTCCTAAGAATATTGTTGAAGCAACCTTCCGCCAGGTAAACTGAATGATTTGTAAGTTTTGCCTTCTTAGATCATGGCTCATTTACTCGTGTAACTCTTGTCTGTCAACAACATAAGACAAGCTCATCGACATAAACTGAACTTTGCGGTTCAGTTTTCTATTTTCTAGATCATTCGGTGGATTAGCGTGTTGGTCAGTCAGTCAGGCAGGCAGGCAGGCAGGCAGGCAGGCAGCCAATCAGTCAGTCAGTCAGTCAGTCAGTCAGTCAGTCAGTCAGTCAGTCAGTCAGTCAGCCAGTCAGCCAGTCAGCCAGCCAGCCAGTCAGCCAATCAGTCAGTCAGTCAGTCAGTCAGTTAGTCAGTCAGTCAGCCAATCAGTCAGTCAGTCAGTCAATCAGTCAGTCAGTCAGTCATTCAGTCAGCCAGTCAGTCAGCCAGTCAGCAAAACCATGATTGTTTAGATGGTCAGGCAATGTTGCAGTTAACTGTAAAAACAGATGCGTAGTCTTTAGCAGTACTTACTTGCACCGTACTTATTATATTAAAGTCGGTTCTTTTACCACCAGAAAAATACAAAGTACAAGTCAGTTCCAGCCAAGATCGAGTCTTACAACAAAACAGTCAATGTGAGTACACTTCACCCAAATGACACCATAACGGTCTACAGCAATGGCACCCACAACTACACCACCATATCCACTCTGATCTACCCTGCCTCCGACACCATCCCAGACGGCCAGTACATTGCTTCTGAGGGAGGAATGAACGTGCTTGGCTTAGTGGTGTTCTCGATCGTGTTTGGGATTGTTCTTGGCAGGATGGGTGACAAGGGAACTCCTCTGAAAGCTTTCTTTGAGACTTTGAACGAAGTTGTCATGAAGATGGTGACTCTTGTTATGTGGTACGTGATACACATCGTAATAAACTGTCTGGTCAGAAATACAGCTTACAGTAGTCAGCAAACTAAGCCTTGAGTTAAGAGGAGCTGCAATCACGTTCATACAGGCAGCCTTTTTACAGTGTCAATAGAGAACACGACGGGTTATGCAGTTATCTTAATATTTCCAGCTCCCAGTTTCTTGGAATGAGATTTTTAATGTCCCATTCTGTTGACCTTACGTGTAATAAGGTTTCCTTTACCTTTGGGGGGAAGGAAGAGGACTTCAGAAAACATGCTCGAAATTCTTTTTCGGTCTTTTCTCCTCTGTTCTCTCACCTCGGAAGAGAAGTGAAGCTTCTTCGTAGGTTATTGCAGATAAAAAGTATTAATTTTGTATTCGTAGACGGCGCAGGAATTTTTGTGACGAGCTCATAGCTACAATGGGAGACAAAAGTGCTGAGACACTTGGCGGTAAAATTCGATTTTCGAGCGTCTTGGAAACATTTGTCCCCTCCCCCGCAAACAATGTTGATTTTTCTACCTCTTAGACTGCCCAGACCACAGCGCCTACACAACATTGAATTGGGGGCCGGGGGTATCAGAGGATTGACGCTAGATGCAAATAAAATAGCTTTTGTCGCCCATTGTCGTTGCGATTTGTGCTTTTTNTTGCTTCTGAGGGAGGAATGAACGTGCTTGGCTTAGTGGTGTTCTCGATTGTGTTTGGGATTGTTCTTGGCAGGATGGGTGACAAGGGAACTCCTCTGAAAGCTTTCTTTGAGACTTTCAACGAAGTTGTCATGAAGATGGTGACTCTTGTTATGTGGTATGTGATACACATCGTAATAAACTGTCTGGTCAGAAAAACAACTTACAGTAGTCAGCAAACTAAGCCTTGAGTTAAGAGGAGCTGCAATCACGTTCATACAGGCAGCCTTTTTACAGTGTCAATAGAGAACACGACTGGTCATGCAGCTATCTTAATATTTCCAGCTCCCAGTTTCTTGGAATGAGATTTTTGGCGTCCCATTCTGTTGACCTTACGTGTAATAAGGTTTTCCTTTACCTTTGGGGGGAAGGAAGTGGACTCCAGAAAACATGCTCGAAATTCTTTTTCGGTCTTTTCCCCTCTGTTATCTCACCTCGGAAGAGAAGTGAAGCTTCTTCGAAGGTTATTGAAGATACAAAGTATTAATTTTGTATTCGTAGACGGCGCAGAAATTTTTGTGACGAGCTCATAGCTACAATGGGAGACAAAAGTGCTGAGACACTTGGCGGTAAAATTCGATTTTCGAGCGTCTTGGAAACATTTGTCCCCTCCCCCGCAAACAATGTTGATTTTTCTACCTCTTAGACTGCCCAGACCACAGCGCCTACACAACATTGAATTGGGGGCCGGGGGTATCAGAGGATTGACGCTAGATGCAAATAAAATAGCTTTTGTCGCCCATTGTCGTTGCGATTTGTGCTTTTTACATTTAAAACTCATTGATGGCAAGTTATTTTGAGTCATAACAGAATAGACCATCAATTTCACACCCTGTGCACCGTTACATACCATTTCGTACTGTATTGAGTCCAAGCAACTTTTCCCCAGGTACTCCCCCATAGGAATCTGTAGCATGATCGCTGCCAAGTTGGCTGCCATGGCTGACATACTGGACGCGCTGAGGCTGCTGGGAATGTTTATGGTGACAGTCATTGTGGGTTTGTTGATTCACGCCCTTGTTGTGCTTCCAATTATTTTCTTCGCGATTACTCGAAAAAACCCATACAAGTTCATGCAGGGCCTGCGCGAAGCAATGGTGACCGCTTTCGGTACAGACTCAAGGTAAGAGAAAAGATCTTGGGCTCTCTACATCATGTGGCTATTATTAGACTGATAATTATTTGACTCGTAGAGGTTGAAGATCGACTTGCTTGACGATATAGTGATTGGTTGATTGATTGATTGATTGATTGATTGATTGATTGATTGAATTATTGACTTACTAATTGACTGTATGACTGCAGACAGGCAAGGTTGCTGCTGATTATCCGATTGGCTAACTGAATAATAATTGCGTGTTTGTCTAGATCGACTGATTGACTAATGACTGATTGACTGATCGACTGATTGAATAATGACTGTGTGACTGGCTTGCAGCCTGATGGTGTGATGGACCGATTGATTTTCAGAATAACTGACTGGCTTAACGGACGACGGGCTGATGGATGGAGAACTGTTTGGCTGACTGACTGATTGATTGATTGACTGACATACTCACCGAACGACTTATTGACTGTTTGCCTGACTGCCAAAATCGAGTGACTCACTCACTCACTGGCTGACTGACGTACTGACAGACTGGGACTAACGAAGGGACTAACTGATTGATTGTCCAAATAAAGTGACTCACTGACGGCTGACTGACTGACTGACAGAGTGACTGATTTCCTAGTGTACGGACATGATATATCGACAAAAGGACTCATTGAATATATAATTGACCGGTCTAATTCTGACTGATTGACTTGGTGTTCATATCGTGCCTTGCAGCTCTGCTACTTTACCAACCACCATGCGCTGCCTTGAAGAAAAGAACGGGATTGACCGCCGCATCAGCCGCTTTGTTTTACCTCTGGGTGCTACTGTCAACATGGACGGAACAGCGTTATNTTTGTTGATTCACGCCCTTGTTGTGCTTCCAATTATTTTCTTCGCGATTACTCGAAAAAACCCATACAAGTTCATGCAGGGCCTGCGCGAAGCAATGGTGACCGCTTTCGGTACAGACTCGAGGTAAGAGAAAAGATCTTGGGCTCTCTACATCATGTGGTCAATACACAAGAGAGTGGGTGATCTCACTTAGACTGATAATTATTTGACTTGTAGAGATTGAAGATCCAGTAGCTTGACGATATAGTGACTGGCTTACCGGACGATGGGCTGATGGATGAAGAACTGACTAACTGACTGACTGACATACTCACCGACCGACCGACTGACTGTTTGCCTGATTGCCCAAATCGGGTCAGTCAATGGCTGACTAACGTACTGACAGAGGAACTAACGGAGGGACTAACTGATTGATTGTCCAAATCAAGTGACTGACGGCTGACTGACTTACTGACTCACTGACTGACAAAGTGACTGACTTCCTAGTGCATGGACAAGATAGGCAGGCTAAAGGACTCACTGAATGTCTAACTGATTGGTTGTCATTCAGACTGTTTGACCTGGTGTTCATATCGTACCTTGCAGCTCTGCTACCTTACCGACCACTATGCGCTGCCTTGAAGAAAAGAACGGCATTGACCGCCGCATCAGCCGCTTTGTTTTACCTCTGGGTGCTACTGTCAACATGGACGGAACAGCGTTATATGAAGGAGTCAGTGCCATTTGGATTGCGCAGCTGAATCGCATTCCACTGGCACCGGGACAGATTGTCACAACTGTGTAAGAAAAATAAATAACGTTATCAGAGTCTATGTCACGTTGTTCAAGATTGGCTGGCTCACGCTAGGATATGTCACGCTACTCTAGGTCACGATAGTTTAGCTAACGAACAATGCTGTTGAAAAAAAGGGACGTGATTTTACTCTAGGGGTTCTCTAGGTTTAAATTAAGTGATCATACATTGCACTTCCCTCCCTCCCCTACCCCGTGCTCCCTTCTCAACGGGAACGTGGCTGATAGATTCAACGAAATATTGACTTACGCAGATCTGCTCGTTATCTATATCTAAGTCACTGGACGTATATCAACTGTTCTCCTCAATAATTTTTCCGCCAGTCTGACGGCAACCGCAGCAGCTATCGGCGCCGCCGGCATTCCATCAGCAGGCCTGGTTACCATGATTATTGTTCTTCAAGCTGTGAATCTTCCTACCGAAGACATTGGTCTTATTCTAGCTATTGATTGGTTCCTGTAAGTTTTTATTTCATTATTGGGGCTTTTCATACCAGTTTTTAACCGCTCATAACTTAAAAGGAGGTAATAACAGGCTCAGAGTTGTCACTGTAATCGAAAATAACGCAGAATTCAATTCTCTTTACAGTTTGGTAAAAAATTTAGATTTTGTGAAAAACTTGGCAACGGTTGTTTAATAACATTGTTCTTTTTATGTTTTGAATCGGATTTGTCCCGAAGACAACATAGTTTAAATACGTTGCACGAAAGAAATGAGTTCAAAAATGCTAGTGACGTGATCGATCGCCAGTATATTTAAATTCATCTAAAGGCTCTAAACACGAAATGACTTAAAATGAAAACCTTTAATTTATTTTCTAACTGAAAAGTTCTTAAATAGAAAAGAGGGTACAAGATAATTCAAC